AGAACTGTGTGTGTAGGGTGACCAGGTGTCCCGCACTGTGCGGGACTGCACACACAGCATTTTTATTATTTGTCCCGCGTCCCACACATTGAGACTATGTCCCGCATTTGAGTGATAGTCGCGCAGAAAGGCCGGATCGGTTCGCTGACAGCCGGCACCGCCCTTCATTATTATATTGTCTAAACGGCATCATGTAAGTTGCGGTACCGAAGTGGGCCGGTCGGATAAGTCACTAGCACATCCCCCACTCCACTCGTTGACAATTTACTAGTTGTACCGAAGTGGGCCGGTCGAGAGTCCCGGGCTGATTTTTAGTCCCAGTCCACCACTGGCTACATGACCGTATGATCGCCCATATTGACGCACCTAATTCCTAAACTTCTAACAGATACAAAATAAACCGATCCTTCAGCCTCATATGAGCTCTCAGACACGTTCAAAATTAAACTGTCATCGCTGTCTGAGCTTGCTGCTGTGTGCGCCATCGTGCGTTTACATGCAGATGCTGGGATCCTGAACGGTGCAGCTGGAGCGCTGTGCCCGCATTGACGTCACCCATAATTTGGCGGGACTTGAAGAATCCCCGAGAAGATCCAGGAAATGGTCAACATTGAAGGGCAGATGAATGGTTATCAAAGTACAAATATCCAAAATCAGTTCAGTAACGGTTTTCAAGGGGACAATATTTACTCAAATTGATGGGTTTGGATGATGGGGGAAAATCGTGTCACAGGCTCTTTAAGATATTCATCACTATCGGGATGTTAAGAGCATTCCATGGAATATAACAAAAAGTGTATCTCGGGCCGGTTTCTGAAACTTACCTACCCCACCTTTAACTTTGAAAATTAAGATAAATAAATCTAAATAAAATCAACAAATAAAAGATAGATTAGAAATATAGATTAGCATTATGGAATAAGATAAAGCCATATTGATCTTACAAGGTGGAAATACACAAGCTAATTAAGGAGTAAATTAGATAAAGTAAATAAGACGGATAAGCTTTGTCTTTACAAGTTGCAGCATTGGAGTAATGTGCACACTATTGTGAATACAATGTAATGATATATACATGACCCTGAAATGGGCCATTGTGTATGATGAGTACATTACTCTTGCTACTTCATATATGTAGATGACAAAACGTAAATGTTATCATTTGATTGCAGGACTTGTTCAGTACACTGTGGTACTGATCATTTTACTTAAATACTATATCTGAGTAGCATTATCGTTCACCTCTGCTCCCCTTGGGAACAACCAGGAAATGTAACATGTAATGAACTTAATAATACATTAATATGACGAATTCGACTGACTCCAATTATAACTTTGGTTATTTATGTCTGTATGATATTTTATCTTGAATTGTTTCACTCTTCTCTGTAGTCATACAGTTCAGATAAAGAACCTACCTGCCCATTTCCCCAGTCTGGTGGGGGACACGAGCTTCCCGTTGCCCAGCACCCACACCCTGAGCCCGGCCAGCAGCCGGTACACGGAGCTCACGGAGAGCCAGGCAGCGGTCAGAGCTCCGAGGACCAGCAGCGGCGTCTCCACCGCCCGGAACACTGCTTCTCCGCTGGACGACATACCTGCACAGCACACTCCTAAGTCTGCTTTAACTGTTTATAGTAACGCCTGGATTTATAAAATATGTATTCATGTAATAAAAGTGTGCTCAAAGTGCAAATGCATGCGTACTAAAAAAGGATTGTTGCTTGCTTCCGCGTTTGACACTTCCGCATTAGAGCTTGGCTAGCTGTGATTGGTTCCTCTTCTTCTTCTTTAGCTGATCGTATTAGTAAATAGCAAGGTATCTCAGCTTTACTACCATCTGGTGTTATACCGCAGTCCTCCGTGTCTTCCGTCCCGTAATTTGTACATTTAAATAAAATAAAGAATATAATGTCTTACATGATATGGCATTTCCTTAGCTGTCATGTTGTTTTATAGTGTATGTCTTTGTCACCAATTCTCTCTTCATGCTCATTATGTTGCTCATCGGCCAAGTTGGGTTTTGTAATGATATAAAAAAAATGCAATTCGAGGTGCAATGTTTTATATTGAAATGTAAAGGTTTATTATTTCTGAGAAGGTGGAAATACCATAAAAGGATATTTTCTTACCATAATGTTTGAAGTAAAACAAGAAGTATGTGTCCTGTCAAAATTGTTCATCCATTGTATTAGTTTTATGGGAATATAGCCGCTTTTGGTATACAGTAGCAATCATTAGAAGTATTCATGAAATACACTCACAATATCGTGAGAAATACATCATGACATGTACATCTAATGAAACCTGAGAATTCTGTGAGAATTATTTTGAGTCTATTTTACCAAAGGGGCCTAAATGTGGGTAAAAAGTAAAACTACAAAACAGCCCTATGCATGATATTTCTTGAATTTGTTATTTTGTGTTCATTGTAAAACAATTTTTTTTGTTATTGTTTTTGCCACTGTATGCTTAGCTTAGAAGGCATTTGGGATTTTTCCTTTCCTTTTGAATTTGATATCTCTCTTCATAGAAGTAACAACACAACACATAATTAAATCTAACTTAGAATACACACACACATAAACACACCACACACACACACACACACACACACACACACACACACACACACACACACACACACACACACACACACACACACACACACACACACACACACACACACAAACACACACAGACACCACAGAGCACACAATTCAGCCAAGTGGAGCAGACAGCAGCCGTCCATGATGTGAGAGTGAGCGTTACATAAGAGCATTGCATCTAAAAATAGAAATGCAGCAATGGTAAACAGGAGTCTAAACTGTTGGCTGTAGGCTTTCAAAGTAACCTGAATGAAATGTAGATTAAAGAGCCATCTCGGACATAAATGGACCAGCTGCTCATCATAACCAGGAGAGCGTGACAGGCGAGCAGCAGGCCTGATGTCTGTGTGAGACGGAGTGTGAAAGAGGTGGATGAAGCTGGTTAAGTTGTACATTGATGAATGACGAGATAAGCTAATTTGTGACATTAACAAAACATATTAAACAAGTGGGAAAGTCACAGAGGTGTATACAGATCTTTTGATCAGATGGTGCTCCACAGTCAGACATTCAGCATATTGACGGATAGCTCCTTACAGTTACCTCATTGTTTTTATTTGTCATTTCTGAGAATAAACCTCATTGATATAAGATATATCGTTATCCAACACTGTGTACATTCAGGATAATATGAATGTAATTGGACTAAACGCACACACATAGAGGCAGAACACCATATGCACAGAGCAATTATTACACATATTATACTTTATAAACTCAAGTGGATTTTACAAGACATAACACATTTTATTCTGTGTCTTCTTAACATATGTTAGGTTCTCAAGCTTTTATTTATGTTTTTTTATGTGTTTATTTCAGGAAAACATCACACTTATAAATGCTGTGGTTATTTTTCACGAACACTAAACATGGAAAAGCAATAAGGACACATTATAGAAGATTTCACTTTGCTTTTATTATACAGCTGTTACATGAAAGGTGTGAAAAGCCTTATTAATATTGAAACATATAGTATCATCCGAAACTAAACATGCACACACAGTTAACTGTAAATATAGAGTTAACACATTACAAGGTCACAAAGTATTTTTTGGGATATGTTAAGGGTTCAGTTTCCTTCCTTCAATTTTGTTTTACATAATCCACAGACATTATGATATATTTGAAAAAATAGAAAGGATATTACACAACAAGACTTATATAAAATGTTAGGTTTAAATACATCAGTTTAAACAAATAAATGGAGACAAGACACACATGGAGGGAGAACAATCGTGAGGTAAAAGTTAACACACACACACACACACACACTTATTGTCTCTGCCTTTTGTTAAATAAGAACCGCCACAAATGAATTATTCAGGGGAATATTCATTTTCTTTAGGAGCCTTAACAGTTATTGTGTACCTCGTTGTTTCAAGATAGTTGAACACTTCTTTAGAGTGTTAGAAGAATGACAAACAGATTTCAGTTGAAGTTTGTTCCTGGTTGCTTGGTGTGGGTGTAGTAGTCCTGCATTCAAAATGTTGTTTATATAAAAGTAGAAAAGTATTAGCATCAACACATATCAATTTAAAAGAAAAGCACTATTCTGCCTAACAGCCCATTTCAAATTAATATTATACAATTGAAATATGTGTTCACTGTTCGTGTTTGAGCTGAACTACAAATGCTGACCTTACTTTGTGAATCTCACAAATAAAACTGTTTATCCAAAACGTTCATAGTACACTATGAAGTATTTGTCTTTTATATTTTGTATTATTGATTTGAATCTTCAACGTATCAAATTGTGGTTTATCATAGATTACAAAAAAAGTCTGTGGGCTACAGTGAATATGTATACATGCAGAACACAGTATTGCATCTAATTTTATTTCAGAATATATTCGACCAAGAATTGTAAAAACGTATTTTCTATGGATTTATTTCTCTTTCACACACATACACACACACACCTGCAGAAGTGCCATTATAACATGGATTTACATTGACTCCTATAGACATTAACCTTTGTCTTGCCTTTCAGAAAACATAAATGTTTAAATGCTCATTATCAGACAGTCATAGAAACATAAATACATTAGGAATTCCTCTTTAATGTCTATGTGTTGTTGACTATACATTGTTTGTCCACTAACAGAAAATGACAGCACATTAGGTTAGGTTCTCACTAAATGCTAAACACTTTCTCAAAACCCCAAATCCCCCAATGATTTACAGAAAACGACCAGAAGGTCTATTATGAAATTAAATGTAAACCCCTTAAAAGAAAATCACACACAGTATCTATCCCTATATTTCTCTAAAATAGACACTTTTTGAAATGATCTGGTTTTGTTTCACTGTATTAGATAATAGTTTACCATTAATGACTTTTTACAAAGTTATTGTCTCCATCCTCACGCCACATAAGACAGAAAACTACCGAAGCAGACCAGTGTGTGTATTTTGTGTAATTGAATTCTCCTCTAAGCAGGTGAGCTGATTAGAAAGATGGCCTGGAGGTGAGATCGCAGGGAGAGGGAGGCTTAAGCACATTCTCAATCCCCTGGAACAGGAGCTCCCTGCTCACAAGAGCCAAGGGGTTTTTCTTATTGCTCATGGCCATAGGTGAGACCCCAGGACCCAGGGTCTCCTCTATGAAGTGACTCTAATTAAAATATCTCACAAAGCAAATTGAAAGGGCTCAGTATTTCATGATGGATTAACAAAAAGCAACATAACATAAGTAAAACTAAGGGTATGCTAGGGTTAGGGTAGCAATAATCAACTGAGGTTTTCAGTGTGTGTGACTAATCATTTATTTTTAACACAGAAGGTGTATTTATAAGTTCCTGCCCGTTGAAGTGTTTGCACACTAAAACATGATGAATCTTTGAAGATCAATACACTGGCATGTTGTGACACATACAGTAGTTTAGTACTGAGCCTGAACAGGTTCAAATGAAATCCTTTGGAAGGCTGGTAAATGATTAGGGCTCATTCCTTACTTGCAATAATAAGTAGACATATATTTGTTTTTATTGTAGATAACACTGATCAACGAGTATACTATACCCAAATATTGTTGTTGTAAAGGAAAAGTTGCATAGACAATCTGTATTTCCATGCTTGTAATATTTGGTGATTCAAGAAAAAGAACAACAACAAAACAAGAACAAGAACAAGTTGTAAATTTCAGGGTGGTATAAAATACGTAAATTGAATGCACGGCTATGGTGCATGAACATGTTTACAGACGTTTTTGCTTACAATGAGGAAAATCTAAGGTTTACTTCTCTCACAAATTTCCTCACTCACTCTGTGGATTCCACCTGCTGACCTCACAGTGGTCAGGTCACTGCTGCCGTCTCCCAGCATAGTGTGTGTGATGTACACAACCTGTCAGTTCAAAAGGCACAGACAAACACAAATAGAATAATATGAAAAAGTAGAAGACAATGATGTCATCCTTGTATAAAGAACCGCTCCTGAGTAACCTGTGACATTAGTTACATTGGTCCATAGTGAATGTTTCCCTCAAAATTCAGAAGAGAACACATAAAACATCTGCATAGAGTGTGATTTATAGGAAAACTTGCAATGTGCATTTTTTAACTATACAATCGTAAAAGAAAGAGAGGTGTATTTGCATAAACATTTTTAAAATGACGTAGGTGCACCTCAAGTTTCTGCAGCGGTAAAACTATTCACAGTACATCATTTTCAATTCAACATCTACGCAGATGACTTAAACCCCTAAAATCCTGAAGAAAGTATATGTCAGTTATTTAAAAATAGTTTCATCAGGAACTGTTGAGGAACTGCTTTGACCAAAATTCCTGATTCATCTTCCTCCCTCTGAAAGAGCTGAAATATAAGAGTCAAAACAACATGCTGCTAAAAAACAAAAGCTTCTATTCAAGACAATGTTTGCAATTTTATTTGCTGAAAAACAACAAAATTGTACATGTTTAGGGAACAAATTAATGTTATCAATATGCACCATCATTCTTTTATTTGTCATTAAAAACTATTTGTTTATATACTAATTATATTTTAACAGTGTTGTGCCAAATCCTTAATATTTACTCACTCTTGTCAAATGTTTATTTTATAACAGAATAGTGTGCTTCATTAAACACATCACGAGCTGCCACAAAACACTCACTGCTGAATGAGTACTGTTTCGGCTGGAGGTGGTGTGGTGTGTACAGAGGTGCAAGGAAACACTCCTTACTTCTGTATAACCCTTTTTGACCTGTGGCTTCTTTCACTTCCCCATGCATCACAGCTGGAAAGAATACATAATTTAGAATCAATTGTAATGCAGCATGCTAGTGTTTTGGGTCACTTCGTGAGTCCAGACCTCAGCCTGTACGACAACAAGAGCGGCGTTAATTATCCTCCACAAATGCTTTTTGGGGTAAGGGCTTCCCAGATTCATGTATGCACAGCAAGCCCAGACCGCAAAAAGATTCGTGATGGACAACTGCTCCCAAAAAATCCACATCTACTCCATTCCTCGGATCTTCATCCTCAAGATGTTTCCAGATAGAAACACCTTTTGCAACGGGGCATTTGTGTAGCTACAATCAGTTATTTTGGGTTACCATCCGATACCAACAGTGAAAGCCACTGGGCTGGCATTGCTTTGCAGCAGCACGCAGCCTTGTTATTAAAAAGAGCGGCGATGAGGAGAGGCGGCATCTCATTGCTGTTATAGACTTTAACGCGCAGCAGAGGTGACCGCCGTTTCATTGGACAGGGAGACTCGTCATAGCGATGCGAAAGGAAAAGAGCACCTAAGCAGGAAGCCAAAGCACCTGACAGCTTCATTACTGCCCCCCGACATCCACTATGGACACCAATGAGACGTTAAACAAAACCATAACCCACAAAAATACAGAATCTTGATCTGATGTGTGCGGATCACTTTACACTGAGGAAAAACACATTATGACAACGATCGGTGACTCCAGTTTCATTAATAGTAAAGTTCCCTTTATTTACAAAGGGTTCATTTGGCTCCTAAGCTCCAGCTGCCGAAGCAGGGGCCCCACCCTCTCTCCGTTTTCATTGGGCCGTCCAGCCTTTCATTGGTGGACGCGTCTCCCAGCCGGTCACGATTCCCCCCATCTGTCTCAGACGCACCGGAGCCAGACGCCACTGACGCAGCACGCGCCTTACTCACTTTTAGCAGTCACGACTCGAGACTCATCGTGCACAAAAGGGAGAAAAAAACGGCAAACAACGATTGGATAGTAAAGGTAGCAATGTGCTCTTGGGATTGTTGCCCTTCAGCCTATGCATGACAAAAAAAACGAAATCTGAGCTTTTGCACGTTAAAACAGCAGAAAAATGAAAGAGCAAGCATGATAAATGAGAAATCGTAAAAGTCTCAAGCCTTTCGTTTGAAACATGGTGCATGGAACTTGAAAAAAAAATTCCACTGTGGTGTTGTAAGATCGCTCTGTGCTAAAAGGCAAAGCCATTCTTAAAGCGGTTCAGCACCACAGCCATAGGACAGCTCCCCACTCACTCCGAAATTATCCAGATATTCCAGAAATCTTGTTTGGGTCTAACACAATTACAACAGCAATATAAAAATAATTACGAGATCAACTGCATTTAACTGAGAGAAGAGAAATCCACCCTTTTTATTTAGAACTAAGGGTGATTCCCTTGTAGCTGCAAACAGACTGGTTAGAGATCCCTTCACGCATAGTGCAAACAATTGCAAAAATCCACACAAAACACTCATGACATGGCGTTTCTCCCCGCGCACATCCCGCGTAAATCGAAAATGAGCTACACATCTACGTTTTGCATTGGTTTAAATAAAAAGCATACATAGAGCCTGAAAGAAAAAGGAAACAGGTGCATCTGGAGAAAGGTTCACACAACTCACCATCGTAGCCTCGGAGCCTCCAATAAAACCACGGAAAGTGTCAGGAAAAAAGCAATTTTCTCCACAAAATGTGCTCTGTCTTTTCGCTTCTTCAAACTGTGCACACACTGTACTCTTGAATGGTGAGCCTTTTATAGGAGTGATGCCCCCTATCTATTTCTGGATCGCGATCCAACCCCGTTTCTATTTTTAGCTCGCGCGTGATGAAAAAAGAAAAGCTCGCAGAGGTTCCTTGGAGGAATTTCGAGCGTGCAGCGTTTGAGTGCTGCCGCGCGCTCCCGCCTTTCTGCCTCCCTGCCTGCACGATGCATGCGCGTGCACGGCAGCATCTTCTTAACAGCGATGCTGTGGGAAAAAAACGCACGCCGGGACTTCAACAGAATCAAGGAAATTTGCAAAATTGGACATTTATTATTTCGTGATTTTCTACTGGAAACACCTGGTAGACCTTCATGCACATACACGCAAGAGCAAAGCTTCCCCCACCCTATCAAATAAAACATATTGTGACCAAGATGCTCACACTAACCTATCATCGTTAGTCCTAATGGCAAATGATGATTTACCATTACAATTTGTAAGAACTATTATTTTGGCACCCTTCTTTATATGTAACCCCAACAGAAATGGAGGAATACTTCCTTCTCCTGGGGGCTGCGTCAGTCACTAGACGTCAGGTGGAGAATCTCCCTTTGAAGGTGGATGCAGGAGCTTCCGCTGTGTGTACGGTGGCTAAAAACCAGCGACCATCCAATGAAACACCCGCTGAAAATCTCGAAAACAGATGATAGGCTAAAGAGGGAGCAACCTCCTCCCAATTTAAAACTGGAAAGAGATTTTTTGTCTAAACCTCCCATGTCATTGAAAGCAAATTTGTAAATTGTCCATCATGATCCAAAACAACATCATGTCATATAAACGCGTCATCATACATCCTCTTATTTCTACTATAAAGGTGGATACAAAGGACGTCCGGTTGGGTTAACCCTCCAGCAGAGCCAGAAGAGGCCCTCAGTGTGGTGATGCAGAGACACACGCGCACACGCACGCACACACACTGCTGCTGCTGCTGCTGCTCCGTCCTGCAGACTCCCCCTGCACAGGGCAGAATGCTGAAGCGCGTAGTAACGGAGCGGCGCTTGGCCGACCGATGATGCTATTTTTAACTCTCATACTCAACATGCCTGGCGCTGCGGGTTTCTGCTCAGGGTAGCCTACTACTGTACGGAGAGGCAAACATCAACACAGAGACAGCTTCCAGGCTCCATCTGCTCTCCCACAATAAGAAAAAAAAACAATCCTCTTTGTTCTTTATCAATGTATCTCTTTAAGAATGAAACACTGTCTCATTCATTAAAGCGGCAACCTGTAGGATTTTCATGGCATTACATTTTCAGGAGATGAGTTATATTTTGATGATTGCAACACATGATTCCTTATTACTCTATTTAACATTTAAATCGTATACATCTTTAAAAATAATAATAGAGCCTATTTATAATACATTATAGACACACATCTGGCAGACCAGTGAACTACAAGCATCACTATGACTACAGAGGATCTGTAGTCATAGTGATACTCAAAGCTCTTTCATATGAATACATAAAGTTAGTTACTTTGCAGCTTCAGCACATCACACCATTGATAACTGATGGTGTGCAGACAAGGAATTAAGATGGACGTTGCAAACAAGATTAGCTGAAATTAAAGCTTATTTCAATCTTAAAAACAGATCAAAATCTATACTCTGTTTACTACATTACTGCATTCACAAAAAGTCTAAATGTGATCTCGAGGCTTAAGGGCTAGACTCAAGGTGAGGACTCAATACACATGAGTCATTCATTTGAGTCATGCTGATGAAACAGAAACAAATGTAACATTCATTTTGTTCTACAAACTATATTCTTTTTAGCTTTGTAAATGGAACATATTTATTTTACAGACTGGTTTCGGACTATGTTTCGGACTAGTGAATTGCTAGATTTAAACTGGTATTCGACCAGCACCTTTGCACTTTATCCCCATTTTAGAAAAGTCTAAGAACATACGTATGGAACCAGATTTAAAAAACAAACCCAGATGGGCGCGGTCTTTCTCACGATTACAATTGATGATGTTTTTTCTGAGTAATTTGATATCTGTGTCTTCCTTTTGTCTCCCATCTTCGCTATATAACTTCAATAGAAGTCTGAGGAGATAGTGATGGTGGTCCTGGCGAGCTGTCCATGGCACTAAAGCAACAGAGAAGCAGGTAACAGTCAGGAGTGAGTTCAGACTAAAGATCTGTTGATTTCAAGGCTTAACATTGAGAAATCTGTTGTATAGCTACCCTACGTAACACACATAGTAACATACAGCAATCAACTAGAGAGAGAGAGAGAGAGAGAGAGAGAGAGAGAGAGGGAAATGTTAAAGGAGATAAAAAGAAGGGTCTTTGGTGTTAAAGGCAGCATAAACTATTGTCCCCAGAGGGCCAGTACATTATTTGTAATACAGAACTGAACTTTAATAATGCAGGGAAGTCCCTTGTGGATAAAACCTAGAAAAAGATAAATGCTCTATATTAATGTCTCATCAAGTACAGTATTTATATGTACTCAAGCCAAAACATAAATATGGATATAATGTGCTGCTACACTAGTATTTTCCTTCACAAAATGGACTTTGAGATCTCCTGTCCTCCACCTCGTTTAAAAAAGGAAATGTTTACATTAAAAACATTATATAATGGTGTTTGCGGACTTAATAAATATTTAGATGACTTGGGATCTAAAGAAGATGTCAATGTCAAAGAAGATTGTTGTAAAATGTGCTTTTGACTGAGTATTTTTCGGATGATAATGTGCGATTATCTTCCATTTTCTCTGTTTGTTAAAGCAATATACTGTATTCTGATATCGAGAAAATAATATTACACATCCTAGCTTCATTAAGATCCAGTATTATTTTGCAGTAACTGAGAAGTCAGTGTCAAACGTGAGATGATAATAAAAAACATGCTAATGTGAGAAAATCCCCCCCATAAATGAGACATTGAAGCAAACTGAAATATTGCTATTGTCTCGGTGTCTTCAAAATAGTCATCTCCTTTCATGTCCGTGCGGGCGATTCACTATCATTATGTAATATCTTGCAGCAACATCCATTCAGTGTTACTATTTTTAGCTCACTGAGCCAAATATATCCACTCACTGCGAGGTGCAATAACAATTTTCAACATGGAGAAAGTTTTGCATCGGAACAAATGAGGACCTCAAAACACTGATGGTCCTCACCCTGAATGACTTCAGGGCTGCTTTTCTGCATCGGGTTTCACTGGCATATACATACAAAGCTGCAACAAATATGGTATTGATTTTACCCGCAGAGGGTGCAGCATAAAAATAGATTATTTAACAAAAAGTGAACAACAGCATCTTCTAGGGAATATATGTGCGGCAATCGTGAGTCAATTGTGCTTAAAGGTCACCTATTATGCAAAATCCACTTTTTCTTTAATACATGAATATGTGTCCCCTCACTTAAGAGATTCAGAAACTATCCAAAAAAATATTCTCTCTCTGTTTGTGCTCAGGCATCTATATAAAAACCTGTCTGAAAATTAGCTTATCAGATTTTGACCACTTTGTGATGTCACCATGTTTTTTGGGTTGGGCAACCACTAGCCAATAACCGACCAAGGTAACACCCGCCCACCTTATCACCTGAATACCCTCCTAGACCACCATTGTGTTTTATCACCAAAAACAAAGAATCTGGCAGAGGGGCTTGGCCAGCAGCAGCTCATTAGCATTTAAAGATACAGTCACAGAATCAGCACTTTTGGAACAGGGCTGAAACAGAGGGGTTTATGGGATGCTACAATGCATGATCTGTTTGGTATTTTAGCCAAACACTTCAGAGACATGTTCTGTATATATATGAGACCTATAATATATTGTTTAAAAATAGTATAATGGGGACCTTTAAGGGTTTCAATTATGCACATGTGTTATTCTGCGCTCTTGTATGTTTTCTTTTAATGCCATCAACCTGTCAGAGACTGCAGATTAGAATGAAACTCTATTGCGTAATCTGGCACGTTTACGTGATGGACTCAAACGCTCATGTTAATGAATGTGCATTGTCCTTTCTTAAATTATCAAACACAAATACAAAACATAAGACTGCCAGGTTAGTTCCACACTATTTTAATAAAGATATCTACTTCACGTCATCTTTAAAGATGTCTCTTTTAGTTAAATAGTGCGAAATATGGATGCTATACGTTCAAATAAAAGTGTTAATATTTAACATTTATGAGCACACTCAACTTTAAATGTCTATAGCCTATGTAAATGTACTGTATGTGTTACTGTCAGTGCATCATTTTAATGTAAAAAAAGGTGCACGTTGCAATAATGAATTGTTCTGCCTGTGCTGCAGGAGAATTAACAAAGGAATCCCAGTGAGTATACTATCTCACACACACACACACACACACACACACACACATACACAC